TATTTTATTTGTTTATTTTTATTTTATTTTCCCAAAAGTTTTTTTTTCACTAAAAATTACAAAAACTTTTAGGCCTATTATACCTATGTTATATTTCTTTCTTATTTACCATTTTGGAGTTTTGAGATTTACCTTGGGATGAGCGTGGGACGGAACTGGTATCGGCCCGTACCGTTTCCGATTTCCTGAAACCCGAATTTGATCGAAAGTCAATTGTAACTTTCCGTTTAAATTAAATAAATAAGTAAATAAATAATTAACCCGGAAACCCAAGAGGTAATTATTATTATTATTTTATATGAATAGTAGCCCTAAATGCGGAATAATTTAGCAAGGCGTTGGTTTTGGGGGTTAAAAAGTTATAATTGAGAGTTTGGGGGTTAAAATGTAATTTCCGGATTAATTTGTAAAGAATTTTGAATGTTGAGGGATATTTAGTAAATTATGGGTTTCATTTGAAAGGATTTTTGAAGACAGGGGCTACTTGGTAATTATTGGGACTTATTATGGAAGGAATTATGGAAACAGGGGCTAAAGGGTAAGTTTTGGATTTAAATTGAAAAAAAATCTGTGAGGAGGGGCCGATCTTGGAAAAGTGTACCAAAGTTTGTATGAGGACACGGGATATACCTGGTGACCCCTTCCCCATCGTTTCCTGGACACAAACCCTAAACCTAAGAGAACATCTACAACCGCCACCACCTTGTGACTTCCCCAACCGCTACCTCCCTTCTTATCGTTTTTCCGATCCGACCAGGTCGCCGCCTGCTGCCGGTGACACCGTGAGCGACAAGGAGGACCACCGAGACCGGAGTTTGAGCTGTAAACGGCGAAGTGTGGGATGCGAACGACCAGAATAACGCCGGACGTTGTGACTATCAGTGTTGCTGTTCCAGCTCGTCGTTCTTCTCCGGTTGCAGCTAACGGATGTTTGTCGCTGCTGTCCAGGAGACTGTTTCATCGCTTTTTCCTCCGACTGCTATGAGCCACCGCGAGGGTGGCTGTGATTGGGTGCGTTTCCTATGCTCATCTCGTGTTCGTGAAGTGTGTGCGTGGGTGTGTTGTTGACCGCAATGCTAGGCGGACCACCATGGCAGCCAACCATTGTGGTTGCCGCTAAGATGCTTCTTCTGCCGCCGCCAGCCACCGCGAGAGGTGGCTGTGTGTGCGTCATATAGTTGTGTGTGCGATTTACTGTGTTTGAGTGTGGGATTGATGGAGTTATGCGGAATGTTCATTTTTTTGGCCGGGAATCCACCGCCACCACCATGAGGAGGTGGTTACACCGCTTCACCACCACCAGCCGTCGTATGGTGGTGGCTGTGCGTGTATATTATGGTATTGTGAGTGTGTTTAGTAGAATGGGACTTGTTTAAACATTTTTGGCGGAAAATTTAAGGAAAAACCACCACCACCGCCGTGAGGTGGTGGCTGCCACCGTGAGCCGCCATCGACCACCACCGCCCGAGGTGGCAGTGGGTGGTGCCCGACCTAATGAAACCTTAATTGACATAATGAAACCCTAATTGATCTAAAAACTTCACTAATGGACTAATTGGATCGCGATTGGATTGGAAACCCTAATTAGGGCTTAGAAAACCCTAATTTTGGGTTTGTTGGGTTGGACTTATCGGGACCCATGTTTTGGGCCATTGGAATTGAATTATGAATTACACCTGATCACACCGTATGATTAATCTAGTAGAGTGATGGACTTATTGGATTAAGTCCTTAATGGGTTAAGTAAGAAACACTTAACCCTAATCGTCATTTTATGTGAAAACCCTAATTTTGCTTGGGCCTTGAGTTGGGCCTTTCTATTGGGCTTGGGTGATTGGGCTATTGATGGGCCATCCAAGAACAAGCATATGCACTAGAATATTTGGATGGGTTTTAGGGTAAGGCCCGTATAAGGGGTTTGGGCCCAATTTGGAAAGTTGGGCCATAGATGGGCCTTGATGGTTATGAGATTTTGAACCATTGGAATGTCAAATGTTTGGACTAGAATAAATGGTTGGGCCTTAAGGTAAGACCATGTAGAGGTTTGGGTTCAAATTGGGCCATATGTTGGGCTTTGATTTATTATTTGGCTTTTGGGCCTCCAAAGTTTGAGTTTGGGCATTGGTCTTGGACCAAGCTAGGTTAGGGGTAAAATGGTCCTTTTACCCTAAGTGTGTACTTATGGTTATGTATTAGAACCCAATTATTAATTGGGTGTTGTTTGATGATTGACAGTTTGGGGATTTGTCAGCTAGCAGCCATGGATTTATTCGCGGGACTTCAGCAGTGCGAGGTGAGTCTCCTCACTGTTGTATGGGTCTAAGACACAAATGCTGGCCCATTTAGTATATGTATGGTAGGAAGACCCGGGTGTTAGCCCTATACATTATGCATGAAAGACCAGGAGGCGGCTCCTGGCACACTGTATGCTATTATGTATGGTAGGAAGACCCGGTGGTTAGCCCTAGACAATATGTATGAAAGACCAGGAGGTGACTATTGGCACACTGTATGTTGAATAGCTAAGTAGTACAATATGTATGTTAGTTGTCTTTGTGATGCTTGTATGGAATACCAGGAGGTGGTTCTTGGCACTTGTTTGTAAGACCGAAGGGGGTGTCCCCCGGCTTGGCAAGAAAGACCACGTGGCGGCCCGTGACATAATGGCAAGACTATGTTTTGGCACATAGCATTTTATTTGATTATGGTATATGAATGATATGTATGGCTCATGGTTATGTATGACAGTATGTGATTTATGTGCTTATGTGCTAGACAATATCCAGTTGAAAGAGATAGAAGGGGTAGGCGAGCACCCATATATGCTAGGCAGCATGTTGATATGTGGTATTTGGGGAACTCACTAAGCTTCGTGCTTACGATTTTCAGTTTTGGTTTCAGGTACTTCGTTTTCAAAGGAAAGGAAGCGCATCACACTATTTTTCCGCACATGAGATCTTTGGGATTACACTCTGATATTGTTTTATGATAACATATTTTGATTATTGACACTTTTGTTTTGACATGAGATGTTATTATGGATGTTTTTATACTGTTGGTTTTATAATAACTTAATTATAAATGAAATTTTTGATCTTAAAATTTTGGGATGTTACATCAATCCCGAGTACCGAACCGCATTAACATCACCGGTACCGGTACTGGGAATGGTACCGGTTTTTAGTACTAGAACCGGTACCAGCGGTACTGAATCCCAAATTTTGTGTATTTGGAGTACCGAGTATCATCCCATATTTTTAAATTCGGTACGGTTTGGTACCAGTTCCGATACGGTACCGGTACGAGATCAGGATTTGGGACAAATTTCTCATCCCTAGATTTACTTGTGATTAAGATAAATAAAAAATATCATGTAAGTGAAAGTTTTTGCATTAATTCTTGGAAATTAATGAATTTAAAAATCAAATTAATATTGTAAAAAAAATAATTACAAATAAAAAAATATATATGACGAAATAAAGTTTGTAAGGAAATATATGAAATTCTCCCTATATAAAAAATATAAAAAATATAAGAAATTACAAATAAAAATTAACAATAAAGTTTGATTAAAAATAATAAAAAAAGATGTTAGAAGAAATAAAATTCTACAAACTATTTACAAATTTCTAAAATCTTCTTTATGCAACATTAGAAGTAAAATGAAATTATAAACTAGAAAGGGTCCCCCGCGTTGCGGGGGTTGGAAGATGTTTGGTAGCCACAGTAAAGTATGTTGCTATTCTCTACAATTTGACCATTTATAAATGCATAATAGTCAAATATGTTGAACAAAATGAATGTACATTGCTATTTCTTAATTGCATTACTATAACTGAAAAACAAATCAATGAAGGTACATTAGTATTTCTTGTATTTAATCCAAGAATAAATAACAATTAACCATCAACTCCATGCTTCTGTCCATATTGCGGTCTTATATGGTTTGTTAGGAGTAAAAGTGTCGCAATAGAATCCATTGTATGTGTTTATCCTGTCATTTTTGGAAATATAGGCAAAATATCTTGCATAAGAAAATGTCAAAAACTGTCAGGAACGAAATGTCAAAACTGAAATGGATTTTTCAATCTTTCAATTAGAAATGATCCATGAAAATTGAATGATAGTTACTTAGTCAAAACTTAAAAAGGTTTTCCTAGTAACCACACATAAAATGTCAATGAAACTAATCCAAGAAACCATTTTTCCAGTTAGTTATAGGGAAAAAAAATACCAACAGTGAGAAACTAATCCAAGAAAACATTTTTCTAATTGGTTGTGGAAAAAACACCAAGAGTGATCTTCTAAACATCTGCACATATTTGTTGATCTTTTTTTGTTACTTTTGGGACAAAAAGAAAAGTTTGTAGCTGTTTCTTCTTTCCCCCCTTAAACCGACGACTATATAAAAAATAATGAAAATAGGGAACCACTTTAATTTATAAAAAAATAGTTTAAATGAAAAGACTGTTAAAAGGGGAAACTATCGATTTAACATAAATCGCATGTAAAAAAATTGAATTTCAAAACAAAAAGAAAAGGGAATGTATCTCACCTGATAAAGTCTTTGGCTGAAATGACCAATCTCATGGAGAGGTCTGTCAAAAAGGACCTTCATATAAAAAAAATTGAACCCGTTAGTTTATATTACACCATTTCAAACATATTTACTCAATAAATTTAGAATCGATATTCTTCACAGACAAAAAAGGTTGCTAACATCCAACCTTCATACGTTTTCTAAACTTTGGAACAAAAGTATAAAAATGGTTCATTCAAAAAATGATACAATATGTCTTTCACCTGTTATAAGTAATATGATTCAGAAATGGTTCATTCCATTCCATTCCAATAGCCATTATTGATTCCAATGGAATATACAATTCCATTCTTTCCCCATACCTCATCTTTCATCATGTTTTGTCTCCTTTGCACCTAACCAAACTTTTGTAATCATCAAAAAGAATGTTGAATCCAATCGATTTTTTCCAGCCAAATTATTAATCTTCCTACAATCAACATCAATAGAAGGAGAATTTATAATATCTTGAAACTTCAATTCTAAATCATTGTTGTAAATTGTTCAACAATGGTCCATATGGCAGTAAATTGATACAAAAATGGTCCATGTTATGGTTAACTGTTACATAATTGGTTTTTGTAATAGTAAACTGTCACAGGGACCATTTACGTAAGAATTTAATGTCATAGGGACTTTTTTGTAACATTTAACTGCGATGGGACCAATTACGTAATTGTTTGCTACATCAGGCACCAGATATGTAATTGACAAATGCAGAATTTTTATGTTGTTTATTGTACAACAGGGACCATTTCTGTCAACTATCATGCTAACATAAAAAAAGAAATGTAAATTGTCTTTTCCTATTTAAAGAGCAAATGATAAAGATGATTGGTGTTTAAATAACACAAACTAAAAAAATGTAACAAATAGCATAACACACACGGTAAACCAATCAAATTATCATAAAATAATGCATAAATGAGAATATACTTGAGTTAGTTTGATATGTTTAGGATGTAGAACACTTTTTCTATGAATGTTCTATATATTTTCTGTAAAACAGTAATTAATAATTGCAATACCTCTTTCTTAAGAAAAATGCCTGCATCAGGCATTGAAGCCTTTTTCTTTTGAAAAACATGTGAGCAATGTTGAGCAATTCCTGCACCAATACTTGCGATCACTGGTATGCTCATAGCATCCGAGAATAGTTTTATCAGATTAATATCAAATCTTTTTCCCTGACCTGGATATAAAAAAATAAAAATTCATACATAAACTATAACACTTTTTCAAAAAAAAATAAAATAAAGAAAGAAAGAAACTGAAAAATGTGCGTGTCGTTTGATTATTGATTAGATACCATCACATTTGAGCAAAATTTCACCGGTTCCTAATTCTTCTACAACTTTAGTAAGCTCATATTTGTATTTCATTAATGGTCCATTTTACTCTTTACCTTATGATTTTTTATCCACTTATGAACGGCAAAATAGAAACAAATGAAGGGTATATAAGTCATTTTGTCATTTGCATACACAGGTTGAAAAAGAAGAGTATAAGCACACTTTTGGTACCTAAGTATAGATGATTTTTATAATTTTGGTCCTCATTTTCAGTTTTTTTTACATATAGTCATTTTACTTGGAACAAATAGCAAAAAACGTTTAAAAAAACCTCAAATAAGGTCGAAAACAGCAAGAGATTTTTTTTGGGAAAAAAACTGAAAGAGTCAGTTTACTTAGCGACCAAAAATGTGAAGTACACTAAAAAAGAACTAACCCGTTCAAGATATATGAGGGTGTGGGAAGTTCCAGCAACATCCAGATGTAAACCTAATAAGAATAATTGATAATCAAGTTGGGATGCAAATTCAACAATTACATAGCAAATCTAGAAACAATGGCATGTACTCAAAAATAGAAAGTGAAATATATGTTAATGGCTTGTAATGCTCAAAGAAAGTGGGTTTTAATAGATCCATTCAATTATTACCTTGATTTACAATCAAATTCATGAGGTGGAAGACCTTCTATGTTGTCCAAGCCATACTCGACAATTCTAATTTCAATCCAATAACATGTTTCTTTGTTATGTTTGTCGATATAACTACCAACCTTACTTAACTTCAATGTAAGATGGGACAAAGTAAATTAACATGAATTTATGACAAAAATATGTGAGGATACTTACCTGAACCAAATTTTTTTTTTTTTGTGATGAATTTACTCTTTCAAGCTGTGCGGGACACTGGAAATAGACAAAAAAAAACTAATGAGAAAGAAAAATAGAGAAACTAAATCAAGCAAAACTGAAAAAATATTAGGTAAAAAAAGGAAAATCAGCATACCTCAGCTACGCAGACGTTTGGTTGACAAAAGCGGTGGAGGGAACATATGTAGACGACTGAATTTTGGAGCAGTTTTGACTTTAAAGGTCAAATCATTGTATCTCAGAGTATTCAATTTTTTCATACTTATCTATTGACCACATGATAAATCCCAATCAAATTAGCATAATTCTTGGACGAAACAAAAGGTAAGAAACTCCTAACCTGCTCAATCACTGGTCCATTTGAGAGATCGAAAGCAGCATCATTGAGCTACGCAATTTCCACTAAAATTCATAAGAATAATTATTAAACTGTAAAGACTTCCCAGATCGTGAAAAGTAATCAGGTGGAAGACTGAAACTATCCTACAAAACACAACATAATTACATCAAATGCTCGTAAGAAACACGTAAATAAAAACCGATCAACAAAACCCACATAAGAATTAGGGTTTAGATCAATGTTATTGTCTGAAAGGGTTATATGAGTGGAAAAATTTGTAAATATGAAGATTTTGAATGGAAACAAAACCCTACGTTGTTTACATCAAGGCCGCCGATGAGAAAGTTCACTTTATCATCATTCGACAACAACGTTGTGTTAATTTTCAACGCCATCAGTGGTGGAGAAAGCCATGGATTAGGGTAGACAGATCAGAGATGGGGCGAAATTGGGTTTTCGTGGCCACGAGAACAATCATGGTGGCGGAAGCTGCTGAGTCGCTTCGCTTGTCAATAACCTTGGTCAGGATTGTCGTCAGCCTCACCATTTGTAGCACACACGCCCAAGACACTGATGGTAGAAAATGTCAATCCCCTGGAATTTGAATCGAATCTTCAGTAGAGTAGAAGTTAGGTTTTCACATGGATGCTTGTTTAATTCGAAAAAAATATCAAAAATCTGCATACGTACCTTCAAAATCGAAGGCAAGCAGGAATGTACCCTTTAAATTGGAGAAAGGCTTTCTTCAATTGGAAGTGATGCAAGGGGTTTAGGAACGAAAGGCTGAGGTGGCAGCAGGAGAGGGAAGCAACTTAACAACTTCTGATCAGAAGAAGAATCACAGGAAGAATATATATGAACGCGAGTTGATGGTCTGTGGAAACCGGATAAACCATCGACAACCGGTGAAGATGGCAGCCGACATCCATCTCGCTAAAAATCCACACTTCGGAACCCAAATCGGAGGTATGGGACAGAACCCTTCCGTTCCTTACTCTAAATAACACCACCATCGCCACTGCCGCTTACTGATGGCTTCGTTCTGTTGTTTCTGTCTTGGAGGCGACAAATTAGAAAGGTGGATGAAGAAGTAATCGGGACTTGAGTGTAAATAATATCTCGACGGTTAGTGATTGACCGATTAAAACAACAAAGTAGCAGGGAGAATTTTTAAGAACACGACATACCTGAAGTGTCGACTACGATCCGCAACCGACAAAGACCAATACAAGTCGAAGATGGTGGTAGGGTTTAGGAGTTCTGGTGAAGAAGCGGACGGCCGAACGGAGCAGGCAACAAAGGTTTGATGCAATATTTGACAAAGAAGTGTGCTCTGTTTCCCATTGAAACGTAACCGAATAGAAAAACCTCGACCCTTTGACGATTCGACAAAAGGAGCTCTCGTAGGTGGGTGGGGTAGCGACTGTGGTGACGAAGGGTGCGCGAACGACGGATTAAATCGCTTCCGAGTTCCGATTTCTGAGGCCCAAATAGAAACCCATATCCGAGCACTGTGCTCTTCTTCAACTCATCGTCCTGAAACAAAAAATTTCATGGAGAGGGTGACCAAAAAATCCCAAATACAGAAGGCGGTGAAGAAGACTGGCTGGATTTCTTATCAAAAGGATGTGGATAAGGAACGGTGGAAAGAAGAAACTGGAAGGATCGATTACCTACAGGTGTGGGGATAAAATGACCGGCAAACCGGCACTATTGCTAAGAAGTGGCCATCTTTAATATATACAAAACGACATGAATAAATTAAAGAAGTACAGAGACCGGATATGTAAATCAAAGGACGAAACCTGGACAAAGTATGTCAATTTAACTGTTCCTTTCGTCCACAAATTTAATATATATATAATAATATGTAGTCAATGTAAAACATAAATAAAAAATATTGGTTAACATATAAATAAAATTAAGTATTTATATCTATATCTACAATCTACAATATATAATAATTGAGAAATATAAAATGAAATTATAAATATGTAGTCAATATAAAATGATAATAAAAATAAGAGTAAATTACTAAAATTGCCCTATGATTTAGTCAAAATTGTACGTTTGGTCCCTAACTATCTTTTTCCACTCTATCGTCCTTGCGGTTTGATTTTGTTGCGTTTTTCGTCCATATGGTTTGCTCAAAATTGCACGTTTGGTCCTTAACTGTATATGTATGTAAGGGACGAAAAACACAACAAAATCAAACCACAGGGACAATCTGTGCACAAAAATAGTTAGGGACCAAACGTAAAATTTTGACCAAACCATAAGGACGATTTTAGTAATTTACTCTATAAATAAGTTAGGATGAATTCCTATACGTAAGCAAAAAAGTAGGATGGGAGTCCTTATAGGGGTAAAATCGGAAACAATGGACAACGAACCGAAAGAAATCCTACTTTTTGTTTAGTATCGAATAAGTATAATAATTTTGATAAGTAAAATAGAAAAAAGTATAATCCTATTTTTATAATACGATCGCACAAGAAGTAAAGGATCACAAACTGACAAAAGACATTTGACTTTCCATTTAGTACGTACATTGCAAATTTAATCACATAAAGTTGTGGAAAAACATAGCAACGACTTGTATACTTTGCATATTATGTACTAATTTTGATAGATATCCAAAAAAAGAATAGTTATATTAATTCTGTTAATTCAAAGCATGTGTACAAAGTTGAAACTGTGTTAACAACTATGCAACATAAGTTATTTTATGTTCTCGAATAATTTTGACCGTTGTGTGTTGCTATTTTTTCAGAATATATTTTTATCCATTTGGTTTAAACTAAAAAAATGGTTATTTGTTAGTAAATACAATAAGAAAGAGTGGATTAACAATTTTTAAAGATTAAAGAAGAAAAAAATACGCTAAGGCATATACTTGTGTTTACGAATCACTTGCAGAAGTTATCGTCGATTAAAAAGAATAAAACCTGAGATGAAGAATGACAAATGAAATTTAGTGTTTGATGGTTTATATTATCGTAAAATAAAAACCTCATTATTTAACGTGATAAAAAAATGAAATGAAAATCAAAATCTCCTTATGTACTTGATATAATTACACAAAAAATAGGAGCATTGATTTGAAAAAGGAAGACGATCATATATTTATGTCGTAAATATGTTTAATTTTTTAAATTTGATATTATACGTGAATTAATTATATGCTTAATATGCAGGGATTGTATAAATTGCAAGTCGTAAGTTAAATAATAAAATACAACCGGATGTAATTATGGTATGAACCGGAGATATAATGGTAATTCAATGTTTTATTAAATTAAATTTCACATTAAATGATTGCATTGAATATATTGACGCGTGACAAACTCTTACAGGATCTTTAATATATACGAAACTTTAAGAGAATGACATGTGTACTACAAAACTATTTTTTTATTAATATAATTAATATAAGAAGATATATATAGTTTATTTCTCTAATGGCTCTTGAAATTAGTTATAGGAATTTACCAAGTTGTACCACTCAATGTCCCTGTTATTGTCAAGCGATAGCCGAGGCTTTTGGTCTTCAGGTATGCAAAATTACGCACTAAAGTGTGACTATTAATGTATTCTATCAATTGTTAGATGTAAAAATGATGTGGAAATATAAGGGTTATTATTAGTAATTCCTTGAGCTAATCTTTTTTGTTTCATATATTAAAACGTGGCGGATTGAGTACTGACTTGGACAAACGTGCCAAAAGTTTTTGACCAACTTTGTATTAATATAATTCCATCTATATTAAAATTAAAATTAAGGACTCACAGATTAAGGAAGCAAACAAGTAACAACCTTGTACCCATTGCTTTCCTGCTTTTCATACAATTGCTGTTTGAAAAAAACAACCAACTAAATTATAGATTTATAAAGCGTTTTTCATTTAACAATATAAAACGACTGAGGTAGTCCACGCTTGGTCAATATGGAATGTAAAAACCCCAAAACAAAACATTCTAAAGCTTGATAAACCCATTTATATAATGTTTACATCCTGGCTTCAGGAAATCGTAAACAGAAAAGGATGAGAGAAATATTCCTTCTCCTCATCCTCCTCCTCCTCTTCTGTTCCTCGATAAAATCTTCATCTTCATCTTCACGGAACATCCATGATCATCTTCAAAAAGGTTCCTCTCTATCCGTTGATGATAGTTCAGACGTCATTAGGTCCCCAGACAACTCTTACACCTGTGGCTTCTATGGCTTCCAAAGCAATGCTTATTGGTTTGCAATCTGGTTCACAAACTCCAAAGATCGCACAGTGGTCTGGAGTGCCAACCGCAACACACCTGTGAATGGCCGTGGATCAAAGCTGACATTTAGGAGAAACGGAGCCATGGTTTTGACAGATGTGGATGGCATGGTCGTGTGGGAAACAAACACAACCTCCACAGATGTAAACAGAGCAGTGCTGCTGAATACAGGTAATCTGGTGCTACAGAACCAAAAAGGTCAGATTCTTTGGCAAAGTTTTGATTATCCAACTGATACTCTATTGCCTTATCAAACGCTAACAAAGAGCAAAAGCTTGATATCTGCCTTACGAAGAGGAAGTCTTGAATCTGGAAATATTGTTTTGAGCTATAACAGTATTAACGTTTTAACACTGACTTACGATGGCCCAGAAATATCAAGTGTCTACTGGCCTAGTCCTGATCCTGGATTTAATGTCTGGTCTTACGGAAGAACTTCATATAACAGCAGCAGAATCGCAGCCTTTGATGATTTTGGTGAATTTAGGTCGAGCGATCGGTGGCAGTTTAGTGCTTTAGATATGGGTATTGGGATCAGAAGGAGGTTAACCATGGACTATGATGGTAATCTCAGATTCTATAGCTTGAACGAGTCAACTGGATTATGGTCGATTTCATGGCAAGCTATTGCACAACCATGTAGTGTTCACGGAATCTGTGGGAGGAATGGAATCTGTGATAACGGAGTACTACAATCAGAATGTTCATGTCCACCCAATCATCAGTGGACTAACCCTGCTGATTTAAGTCAGGGTTGTAAGCCTACTTTCAATACAACCTGTTCAAACTCAACAAAGTTTGGATTTTCGGAAGTGCCGTATACAGATTACTATGGCTTTGATTTAGATTACTTCACACCCATTACGTTGGATGCTTGTAAGGACATCTGCTTGGGAGATTGTAGATGTATAGCATTTAGTTACAGGATAACAGGTGCAGGATTATGCTTTATTAAAAGTGCTCTTTTCAACGGTTTCCGGTCTCCTAATTTCCCAGGAAGCATCTACTTGAAAGTACCAATTGACATGGAAACAAGAGAATCTGTCTCAACTCTTACTAGTTCTAACACCACGTGTGTAGAGGTCGTCACAGTCATGGTGGGTTCTCCATCTATGTATCAATCATCTGGCAAAAAGGTGAAATGGGTTTATCCTTTCTCCTTCGTTATAGGTATTGGTGTGGTTGAAGCTTTGGTTATCTTTTTAGGGTGGTGGATTTTCTTTAAGAAAAATGCCATCCTAACCAACTTAGAAGAGGGGTATCGTATGGTATCAAGTCAGTTTAGGGGGTTTACTTATCAAGAACTGGTGAAGGCGACACAAAACTTTAAGGTGGAGATAGGGAGAGGAGGCTCAGGGACTGTGTATAAAGGGGTTCTGGAAGATGAAAGGGTGGTGGCTGTGAAAAGGTTAAGAGATGTGAGCGAAGGTGGAGAGTTTTGGGCAGAAGTGAGCACAATCAGTAAAATCAACCACATGAACTTGGTGCGAATGTGGGGTTTATGTTCACAGAAACAACACAGACTTATAGTTTATGAGTACGTGGAAAATCTTTCTCTTGACCAGAGATTGTTCTCCTCGAGTTTTCTTCAATGGAAAGAAAGGTTCAAAGTTGCCATAGGAGTAGCAAAAGGTTTAGCTTATTTACACCATGAGTGCCTAGAATGGGTGATTCATTGTGATGTTAAGCCAGAAAACATTCTTTTAGATGACTCATTCGAACCAAAGATTGCAGATTTTGGTCTGGCAAAGTTGACTCAGAGAGGTGGTCAAAGCTCGGAGTTTACCAGGATCAGAGGGACAAAAGGATATATGGCTCCAGAATGGGCTAGCAACCTTCCTATCACAGCAAAAGTTGATGTCTACAGCTATGGGGTTTTGGTTTTAGAAATGGCAAGGGGAATTCGACTTTCTAATATTGTTGTTCAGGGAGGGGAAGAGGAAGAAACGGAGCTTATGAGGTTTGTAAGGGTGATGAAAACGAAGCTTCAAGGAGAAGAAATGGATTTGTGGGTTGAAGAGATTATTGATTCGAGGTTGGGAGGGTTGTTTAGTAGGAAGCAAGCTGCAAAACTTGTTGAGATTGGTATAAGTTGTGTGGAGGAAGACAGAAATAAAAGGCCTACAATGGACTCAGTTGTTCAAGATCTAATTGATTGTGAGTCCTAGTTTATACACCAATTATTTTACTTCTAATCTATATTGGGGTTTGAACCCTCATTTGGCTAGAGACATCCATCAATTAGTTAAATTAACTTGGGAGAGTTGGTGGTGTTATTCATTTTTGGCTTGTGAATTGTGATGTAATGTATTTTAACTGGATTAAGCATAGGGCGTTGATTCTCTCGTTAAACTGGGATAGTTGGTGTTGTTTTTCATTTTCAGTTTGTAATATGTAATGTTTTTGCTTCTAGTTTTTCCCTAGTGTTTGTTTAGTAATATATTTCCATTGTTTTAAAAATGTTATTTTTGTATCGTTGTATACTTTGTTTAATAATATTTAATAATGCACATGGCTCTAGGGGCGGCTTTAACATTTTATTTGGGGCATAAATATAATATGTATAAAAATTGGCAAGCAAGGGGCCGTAGTCAAAATTTTATATTTTTGGGTCTAATATGTATAAAATTAATGTATAGGGGCTACTTGTGCCCCCCCTCGCCCTAATAAAGCTTCGTGCTTACATGGCTCAAGCCTTTTGTTTTCCTTTAATTAGACAAAATTGCATAAACGGTCTATGTGGTTTAAAAAACGTCACATGTTCAATCTCTAACCCTTTTTTTTATGCGAATGTCCATATATTTTCACTTTCTTGTGTAGTTAGTGTCTGAACTAAGACCACATTTTGTCTTCATCGCACAATGTCTTCACCCCATTCATCTTCATCGACAAAACCAACAAAACTACTTTCATGGTTTTGGCCTCTCAACTTTCAATTTATGATAAACCTGTTCAGTGCTCATTATTTCAATCGATACCCATGTCATCGTTGCGAACCGAGCGATAAAGAGAGGAATAGGATGAGGAAGCTTCACTTTATGTTCCATATCAATTGATCTGACTGCAGGTCCTTGTTTGATTGCATGACTATGATTTAATTTGTGGGGTGCGATTTCCAGGGTGAGTTCCTTGTGATTTTCATGTGCAATTACTAGATTGATAAATTCAACACACACACACATACAATCAGATGCACTAATTTCCTCTTATTGTTCAATAAGATGCAACTATGTAAAAACGATGGTGGTGATCGGAGATGAAGATGCCGACGATGAACCCTGATAAAGAATAAAAGGAAATGGTGGGGTGGTGGGGTGGATAGCAGTGACATTTTAAATCATTAGGGTTTTACTGGTAGGCTGAACAATGGTGGTGGGGTGGATCGTTTCCAAGATATTACAAGGCATTTTAATTGTCCAGCATGCTGGACAATTATGCATGGTGGTTTTATTTGTTACAAAATATTACTAGTCATTTTAATTGTCCATAATTGGGGCAAACCACTATGGTCAAACTGTACATGGCTGTTTCTTTTTTTCTTAATCTGGATAGAGTGACTTAATGGGTAAAAGTGATGAACATTGTGACTTAATTTTGTTGGTACTTAAGGGTAAAATTGTAACATCCCGACTCCCAGGTCTAAAATTGAACTGATTTACATTCATTTTGATAGGGCAACTCGACGAGTTGGAGGCCCCAACTCGTCGAGTAGAAATTTAGATAGCCGCACGGGTTTAGAGTCAACTCGACGAGTTGGAGGACCCAACTCGACGAGTAGGAGCTGAGCAAAAAAAAACCCTAATTTTCAGGGTTTGCATCCTATTTAAAGGACCTTAAGTCCTTTACCCCGCCTCCCTCATCACCTTAACACCCTGAGAGAAATCCTAATCGAGCTATTATAATCTGAGAGAGAGAGAGAGGCTAATAGTGTGTGTTTTGGTGCATTCTTTGAAGGATCTTGAGGAGGAAGAGGCTTGGAACAAGAAGGAGTCCTTGGATCCAACATTTATTCAGTAGTACCAGCCATTTGGAGGTAAAAAGGTAGTACCTTGACCACTTGTTTGTCAGATCTCTCCATTAGAGAGTTTATGGCCATTTCTACCTTCATTTTGAGTCATTTGGTTGTTTGGACATGCTATGAAGATGAGACTTCAAATCCGAATGTTATTAGGCCCTTTAGGCCTAAAGATTAAAGCTTTATCAAGCTTTGGCCAACTTCCATGCCTTGAACCCTTGTTGAGCCTTGTTTTGGCAAACTTAGCCCATATATGCCATGCATGGACATAAAGCTTGCAACTTTACGTGGTATTCCAGCCCTAGGAGGCTAGATCTAGAGTTTGGGGCCTTAGTTCAGCTTAAAAACATCTAAATAAGAGAATGGTCTGAAGGAACTCGACGAGTTGGTTAGGGTTTTCCCCGATAGTCTGGACGCGTTACAAACTCGGCGTGTTGGTGAGACAACTCGACGAGTTGAGTTGGATTTTCCCGATATTTCAGAGAAACGAAGGAACTCGACGAGTCGCATAGATGCACTCGACGAGTTGGGTCAACATGGACTGTTGACTTGAGGGTTGACTTCCGTTGACTTTTAGGGTTTCGTCAAGTTATGGACTTAGGAGACCATAGAGGGGTAAAATGGTCTTTCACCCTTTCCGAGAGCTAGTAAAGGAATAGTTTAACATCCTTGGAGTTGTTATTATAAATTGTTAATTAGAAATGATTATGATATATGTAGGCAGAGTCTAGGCCTACTGTTGAGTACGAGACATACTTGCTTACTTACGAGGTGAGTCTTCTCACTATACTTACCTGAGTGGTAATACTGTGTGACCGGAGGGTCTTATTTGAGTTATTGTCCGGAGGGTCTTATGTGCTTATACTGAGTTATGTGATATCATGCATTTTGTATTTGTGATTTATGTTGTATATTATTCTGTGCCTTATTGAGTTAGGACCGGAGGGTCCAAACCGAGTTGTGAGACCGTAGGGTCCTCATTGAGATACCAGACTGGAGGGTCCAACCCGAGTTATGAGACCGGAGGGTCTTCACTGAGACACATGACCGGAGGGTCCTTATCGAGATATAGCCATGAGAGGCTAATTATTTGTGTGTGGTATTTTGGGGAACTCACTAAGCTTCGCGGTTACAGTGTTGTGTGAAATGTGTTTCAGGTACCTCAAGGATCGCAGGAAGTCGCCGACATGATTGTACACACCAGCTTAAGATTATGTTTTGAGGATTCTGGGATATTGTCAAACATTTTGTTGTCTTGTGTTTTGAACAACTTATAAATTTGGGTTTGAGAAATGTGAAATTGTGTTTTGTGTGGTTTTTAAAATGAAAAATTTATTTGAAAATTTAGAGTGTTACAAGTTGGTATTAGAGCCTTGGTTTGAGGGATTCAGATGTACCTTTGGGTATGTCTGGACTTAAACTGAGGATTTGAGGAATTTTCTAAAGAGAAATGATTTTCAAAACGAGTAAAAGTTTTTAAGAGGAAACAGGATGAAGCAGTGTGTACAATCAGCCAGAGCCCGAACGGTGATTTTCCCAAGATACCCTTATTTGTTTATAATGAGATGAGATGCTTAAGAGAAAATAGAGCTGCATGCTAGATGATAGGCTAGGTATTTCAGGAATTTAGAGCTAGGGTTGCCTGATTCATGATACCTTAGCCTAGGGGGATTGCTATTGATTGATATTATCTGCTATTTGCTCTGCTTGTGTGTAGAGTAGGGGTACATAGCAGGAACCTTTTGAGAGAGTTTTGAGTCAAAGAGTAATCTAGGAGAGATACCTAGATGTGTATTGAGGAATCTACTGAGAGAGTAGTTGGATATCCGTGAGGGATAGAGTACTTGTGAATTAGGATCCTAGGAGGAGGACTTGGGGCGACAATGGGTTGGTGTGGAAGGTAGTATTGGGCCCGTACTACTGAAAGCACCGGATCTGTATGCGACCCAAGTAAGAACCTTAGGATGCTAAGGAGCATGTAGGGGTGGGTAATTGAGTGTGCGCTTGAGCCAGTTCCTGATGATTTTTGGTGTTTGTGTTTCAGAGAGACTATGGTGATTACCCGCAACAACCTCGGGGGTGGTGGTACTAGTAACAAGGAGATCCGCAGGATCATTGCGGAGGAGGTGGTTGTAGCTATCAGAGAGGCCATTCCAGAGATGTTCGGGTCTATTAAGACCACTCTGATTGAGACTTTTGACGAGCGTTATGCTGCTGTCACAGAGGTTGCTGCTGCCGCAGCCCTGGCAGCTGCGAGGCCACAAGGGGTGACTCGTTGTTGTTTCGAGAGTTCAACAACACGAAGCCACTAGAGTTTGATGGGACCCAGGACCCGATTTCTGCCATGAGATGGATCTCCGACATTGAGGGGTGTTTCTATACATGTTCATGCTCGGAGCACTTGAGAGTTTGGTTTGCACTGAACCAGCTTCGCTTGGGAGAGAAGGACTGGTGGAAGTTCGTGACGACTTATTTTACTCCTGTAGATCATGTTGCGGTGACTTGGGAGAGGTTTACCCAGTTATTCAGAGACGAGTATGTTCCCCAGGTGGAGAGGGAACGATTGGCACAAGAGTTTCTGTCTCTCAAGCAAAAGACAGAAACAGTGACAGAGATTACGAGGATGTTTCATGAGAGGGTGTTGTTCTGCACTGAGCACGTGTCTACTGAGCCGGCATGTATGAGCCGGTACCTGAGTATTTTGAGGAGAGATATTCGGGAGTTCGTGGCAAACTCATCATATCGAACATTGGCTGAGTTACAGACCAATGCCAGGAGGAGAGAGATTGAGCTGGAGATTCAGACCAGGGAGGAGGGAGAGCCTCAGGGGAGGGACAGGAGACCAGTGCAGTCGCAACCGGCGACGAAGCAGGCTAAGCCCACTGATACGAGAGCAGAAGTCCAGAAGGGCCGCACTTGTGGCAAGTGCGACAAGAGCCATGAGGATCTTGCCGAGCAGGGATTTGCTACAAATATGGCAAGGAGGGGCATATGGCGAAGGACTGCCCCAAGGGATTTTCGGTTTGCTTTCATTCCAACCAGACTGGCCACCGGAAGGCCGAGTGTCCTCAGCTCACTCAGGGACCAGCCCAGGCTTCTGCTCCTGTTGCTTTGCGTGTTACTGATGGCCGGCCGAGAAAGGCTGAGGCTTCA